TAATTTGCCCAACAAAGAGCATTAGTCCCAGCAGTTTTGGAACAAGTTGTACAGCATGACAAGATGAAAAAAGAAATTTCTTTCTCTCTAGTGGCTCCATTTTTTAAAATCACATTTAAACCTTTATTTTTAAACCTTTTAGTTCATACTAATCTTGAATAAGAAGTCATTAATTCGACTTAAAAGTCTTGGTTATCTGGATATTAAAAACTGTGACTTTATCAACAAATAATGAGTTAATCAGAACAGAAAACAATATTTGCAACCTGTGAGTTTGAGAGTTTACTCTTTTGAAATGCATGTTATCAAATATTATAAAGGGGAATTTGAGTAAACACAAGCAAGTAGTTGGTCAAATATCGGATCACCTCACATATTTAAAAGAAGAAAATAAATGTTAGAGACTTAAAGAGGAAGAAATTGAAACTTTGACTTGTCAATCTGAGGAACTAAGAAATGAAGCTCACTTTAGAAATATAATAAATGGAAACTGGGTGGTAATCAATAGGTACAAAATAACCAGCATAATTTGCCCAACAAAGAGCATTGTCCCAGCAGTTTGGGTACAAGTTGTACAGCATGACAAGATGAAAAAAGAAATTTCTTTCTCTCTAGTGGCTCTATTTTTTTTAAAATCACATGAACCAATAAGTGCATTTTAACAGCAGTTCTGGAATCTTATAGAAAAGTATGTTAAGAAGGCTATTTTAATATATATATTTTTAGTTATACATGGACATAATATCTTTATTTTGTTTATTTATTTTTATGTAGTGCTGAGGATCGAACCCAGGGCCTCACATGTGGGAGGCAAGCACTCTACTGCTGAGCACAACCCCAGCCCAGAAGTTTTAATATAAAATTTTTAAAAAATGTTAACATGTATCCAGTTTCTATATAAATGTCTCAAGAAATTTCCAGGTTTAAGATACTAACAAAATTAATACTAATAGCTGGATGTAATGGTGCATACCTATAATCCCAGCAGTTTGGGAGGCTGAGGCAGGAGGATAGAGAGTTCAAAGGCATCCTCAGCAAAAGCAAGGTGCTAAGCAATTCAGTGAGACCCTGTCTCTAAATAAAATACAAAAATATGGCTGGAGATGTGGCTCAGTGGTTGAGTGCCCCAGAGTTCAATCCCTGGTATCTTCCCACAAAAAGTAATACTACTAATACTAGAATAATACCTAATAATAGTAGTTCTAGTATTATTATATATTTTTTTTTTGTTGTTGTTGTTATTTGTTTGCTTGTTTTTTGATACCGGGGGATTGAACACAGGAGCTCTTAAAGACTGAGCCACATCCTAGCTCATTTTATTTTTATTTTGAGTTGCTTAGGGTCTCACTAAGTTGCTGAGGCTGACTTTGAACTTGCCATCCTGAGCCACTGGGATTATAGGCATGAGCCACTTGCGCAGCAGAACTCAACTACCTTCTAAAAGAAAAAAGATGCTGCTTTTACAAATATGTCTATTACTTTACACAATTCACATTTAAGAACATATGAAATGTGAAAATGTTAAAGGGGATGATGCTTCCTTTAATAAGAAATAGAGTGAACTAGGAATCCTATGACTGAAATCTGGGACTAGCTCTGTCATTCATAGGCATATGGTGTCAAGAACCTCTCTATACATCTTTATCTTCACAAGCTGGTGGGAGGGGATGCCTGAATGACTAATTGAATTAATGCTTAATTTTTTTTGAGAGGAGAGGTGTAAGGATAATTTAAAACAAATATGTAGAGATATTTTGAAAAGAATTAGAAATTTTACAAATATAGACATTATTATTCCTATATTTAGGCCAAAGTTTGGTATATGAATCAGGTTTTTCGTAGTACAGAACAGAGGTCTGGTAACCTAATTGAATTTAAAAACAAGCTATAATAAAATTTTTTAAAATAATATCAAGTTGAAGCTTATCTCCCAAACTCAAAAATTTAATTCAGCCTTTTGATAATAAGCCAAAGTAAAAATTAGTATGTGTGTTATATTTTTAATAATGAAGAATGAGTTAGTCTTTGGTTTTATACTTCTGTTTACACTGAATGCTTGCTGCTCAGAAATTGACCCAAGAAGAAAAAAAGTAAAAAAGAAACTTAGGCCTTGATGGGATTCCAGAGAGAGGTCAGTGCCTCCCTCAGTATTTCAGATTATTCTAGGAAAGAGCCACACTGAGCAGTCAGAGAGAGAGTACTCAGGTGCAACTTCATTAGGGGCCATTGCCCTAGCACAATACACAACAACCTGTCCACAGGTTTCTGGCCATCTGTAGAAGCAAGGGCCACTGTCATTATTTGAATGGGATAGATTTGGTAATCAATGGCTCAATTTATTACTCTGCTAAAATTGACTTTGGAGTCTGGACCCTGCTGAACTTCAATTTGGGTCAGTCCTATCTAATGTCTACTTCAGAGCCATGGTCAATGTGGACTGAAACCCATGCTCACAAGCACTGAAGGTGGGAGCCCCTTGTGTATAATCTTCCCAATGAAGATGGCATGTTTGGGAACAAACATTGTGTGGAGTCTGGCTCATTGCAGAAGGTCTTCTACACAGGAGCAGGTCTATGATGTGGGTCCTAGCAGCATTTTTCAAAGGATTTCAAAGATAAAATGTCATGATAATGACTTGATTCAATGTTATTAATCAATATGGAGATAATCAATGCTCTCATAAGAACAATTTGCACCTCTCTGCTACCACCCCTGCCCAATGTCTTTCCTTAGAGGCTCACTTAAATTTCCCATCCATAATGGTTCAGTTGTTATTTGAATCATAGTAATCAGAATCTCTACCTGCTGTGATCTGGTTTCTTGACAAGCAGCCTGGCCATTAAACCTTAGGCTTGATAAGGAATGCTCCTGCTTCATGTGTCTGCCCAGTTCTGTGGAATGTGAACTCTAAAAGGTTAGGGTGCAGATGAGTGATGATGATACAGCTAGGAGAACACACAGAGAAGTTAGCTGACTCCCCACCCCCAACTCTACCCTGCACAAAACTCAACTCAAAGTAGATCAAGGACCTAGGTATTAGACCAGAGACCCTGTACATACCAGAAGAAAAGGTAGGCCCAACACTCCAACATATCTGCTCAGGAACCGATCTCCTTAACAAGACTCCTAAAGTGCAAGAAGTTTTGAATATTTTTTTCTATCAAAGTTTTAAAAGTATTCAAAAATAGAAAACACAATGTTTGTTCCCAAACATTTTTCATTAAAAAAAATGCCTTTGCTTCTTGTGATGAAGAAACCAAATCCAACGGAAACAAAAGCACTTCCAGACGGGATTTGTAACAACATCTACTTCTCTACACTGGAACTCTTAAAGTGGTGGGAGACAACGGGCAAGACGGAAATCTAATTACACAATAATCCCCTCCCCCTCCCAAATCAAAGCTAATCATCATTTAAAATAGGCATCTTAATGACACTACATATATTAAGTTGGAGCAGATAGCAAAGGACTCAATATAGAAAATATGAGCTTTTCTAGATAATTACTTTTTCACCACCCAACCTATTCAAAGCACATACTTGAGAGTGTGTATATGTGTGTATGTGTGTGTGTATGTGTGTGTGTGTGTGTCTACAGCCATATGTTTTGAGTATAAGTTTCTTTGAGTGAGCACCTTTTTTGAACAAATTAGATATTACTCTTACAGAATAACCATGGAAAACAAATGACTGTAATAGGTACAACAATAGAACTTAATTTGTCTGAGTTACTCATAGAATGATATGAAACAGAGCCCTGAGCTTCAAACCAGACTCTGCAGTTAGGCCCAGGGAATTGGTGGGGCACTGAGGAAGAAGGTTACATCTCTTTGAGTCCATCAGCATCATTATTTCAGTTGTGCTATAAAAGTGGATTATAATTGTTTAAGACACCTCATTTCAAATCTTAGTTACCGTCAGAGCACAGATCTTTCACTGGTCGTTTGCACACTTTCTGGATGGCCAAGTCTCAGGAATCCTTCTCTGAAGGCAATACTGGTAACAGTTCTCCCTCTTCCCAGAGAGCAGCATGGCATGAAGAACACAACGCCTGGTACGTACAGTGGATATGCTGAATTCAGCCAAGAAAGGGCTCATTTCTGCCTCTGAGATAGAAGCACAAGGTGATAGAAACTCATCATGACCCCAGAGCAATACAAAGGAAAGGATGAACACATCTACCTAGAGTGTGTAGACATCCTCCACTTTCCCCTAACATGAATTTTTTTCTGTATATAACCCCCCAACTGAGAATTTGATCATTGTTGCTGACCATTCATAACTCCTCAGCCCTTCAGTCTTACCTTTTAAATTCTCATTCCATTATTATTAGCTATCTTTAATCAACACAGAGGCCTCTCCCACTGAGTCACATCCCCAGCCCCTTTAATTTTTTATGTTTAGAGAGCGTCTCACTAAGTTGTCAAGGCTAGCCTTGAACTTGCCAACCTCCTACTTCAGCCTCTGGAGTCTCTGGAATCACAGGTGTGCTCCCCACCTCCTGCTCCTGGGCACTGTAACTTTTCTGAATTATTTTTCTTTCCTGAATCTTCCATGATAACTATGTCAAAGTCTTTGCAAATGTTTCTCCCAGTCCTTCTCTTCTACCTGCCTGGGTAACTCCTTTTCATTATTTCCCCGTGTTATGGTTTGAACGTGAGGTATCCTCAAAAGCTCATGTGTGAGACAATGCAAGAGAGTTTGGAGGAGAAATGACTAGGTTATGAGAGCCTTAGCCCAATCCAAGAATTACTCACCTGATGGAATTAGTGGAGTGGTAATAGAAGGCAGGTGGGGTGTGGTTGGAGGAGGTGGGGCATTAGGGGTACTTTGTGTCTGGAGAGTGGAGTGTCTCTCTGATTTCTGATTATCATGTGAGTGAGTCTGGAGAGTGGAGTGTCTCTCTGTTTTCTGATTTTCATGTGAGTTGCTTTTCTCCACCACATTCTTCTGCCATGATGTTCTGCCTCACATCAAGTCCCGAGGAATGGAGCCAGCCATCTATGGACTGAGACCTCTGAAACTGTAAGCCCTAAATAAACTTTTTCTCCTTTAAAATGAGTCTGGTAGAGTATTTTAGTCACAGCAGTGAAGAAAACTGATTAAAATACCCCATTCTCTGAGATGGGGTCTACTGTCTCCTTGATGATTCTGTAAGATCCTCTTACCATGAGAATCTGATTATAATTGTGCATTTTGTTCTTTCGCGTCTATAAAATATAATTTCCTCAGGATCAGAGATGGTATCTTTTCCATTTTCATGACTAACTCCTCGGGCCTCACTGAAGCCAGTACTGAGTCCATGAGTGGGCAGATACTGCAGCCACCTGATCTGAACTCCCAGTGTGGCCTCTTCTTAGCTTTGTTACTTAGTAAAAGTTAACTTGCCTTTCTGTGCCAAAATGTCCTCATCTGTAAAGAGGGATAATAAGTGTATTTTCTCACAGCACTGTGAACATTAAGTGAATTGATACAGATACCTTACTTAGAACATGTCTGACACCTCTTTTAGAGTTAGTTGTCATTCTGCTTCTGCACCGTCAGTGACAGGCATAATGTAGGTAATTCACAAACTTTGTTACAAAAATAAATGGATAATTAAACATCAAATATAATGATTTTCAATTACCCTCTCTTTATTATCTGATTTTCTACCCCTTATTGTTTATAATTGGCCCATTCATTCAATAAGTATTTATTATCTACTTCAATAAAACTGAGAACTATGTTGAAAATATCCACTTCATTTTGTAACGAGCTTTGAGGAAAGAATGTACCTGTCATAAAAATGATAGAATTGGGCAAAACTCATTCTCCTTCTAGAGTGCTCATAATAATAGCTTCCAGTTAAGTTTAAACTGGGAGCTCTCTGGAGTCTTTACAAAGATAAAGAAAATGATTACAACTTCTGATGTTTTCTTCATTTCCAATTTGTGGGAGCTTTTTACCTTCTTTTAGCACCTCACCTAACTATTATGCAACCAAGATCAAAGCAAGTTCTTAAGAAAGAAGTAAATCTACTGTGAAGCCAGTTATTTCCTAAAGCTGCATCTGAAAGGCAAACCTCAGGATAAAACTGACCAAGAGAAAAGACTCAAAAATGCTACAAGAATAAGTAGAAACTTCTATGAAATTAAAACTTGCCTTTTCCAAAAATTCCACTAAAACCAACAGATATTCTTAAACATCGGATTGCCCCAGACTGTACTTCTTAATCTTTTCCCAAGGAATTTGCCAAACTGAGCTGTTGTTCTCTAACTCACTTTCCTATTGCCTTCCATGATGTTTTCTCCCTGTTTATATATGTTCTCCTAAGTCCTGAATACCATCTCTGGAAAGGAAGGTTCTAGCAGCATTGGGGATGAATGATCTATACTCTGCATATGCTGCAGGGATATGGAGGAGCTTGTGAAGGAGAGCCGTAAGACAGGAACAGAGAAGGTAAGGGCATACATCTCCAATTAGTTCTTTCTGTGCATCACTTCTCTCCTCCTCTACTTCCTGATCTCCCTTTCATTCCACCAATGTTATGTCCTATGTCCATGTTAACGAAAATGAAGGTCCTGAGTTTTCTCAGTCTCTGTTTAACAAGGTTTAGCATAGCACAGGCTGATTCTAGATGCAGGTAAAGTAGCAGAGGTTGAGAGCAGGCACTTGGAGCTCCACTGTATCCCTACTACAGGGTGCAGCCTGGCATCCAGTTTCTACTGAAGGAGCATCTGCTGAGTGCCAGACGTGTGAGCTGCTGGGGATGTACAGCGAAAGATGGCGTAGCCTGGCTCTTCATGTACTGGCTTGGTGACTTCAGACTACTTAATCTCCTCTCTGTACTTCAGTTGCCTCGTTTGCAAAGAGGAATGATGACAATTTTATGAAGTTGTATAAGGATTAAGTCAATTAAATTCTAGTGTAGTACATAGTAGGAGCTCAAAAATGATAACCAGTGGGTGTAGTGGTGCACACTTGTAGTCCCAGCAACTGAGGAGGCTGAGGCAGGAGGATCACAAGTTCAAAGCCAGCCTCAGCAAATTAGCAAGGGCCTATGCAACTCAGGAAGACCCTGTCTCTAAATAAAATTTAAAAAGTTCTGAGGATGTGGCTCAGTGGTTAAACACCCCTAAGATTAATCCCTGGTGTGTGTGTGTGTGTGTATGATAACCATTATTTTTGGTGATGATGGTAATGAGGAGAAGGAAGATGAAGCTGGAAAGTCATCCTAGCTTTCAAAGAGCCTAATGTTCAGTGAGATTTGAGGGACATAGTAAGAGTTTTATATACCTAATCATTTTGCTTGAAATTTAAAAGGCAGGGAAAACTATGATTATTGTGTGATTCTTTTGTTTTTATTTTAATGTTGCATAATAAATGCAATAGTAAGAAATAGAAGCATCAGAGATGCCACTTTTTTCAATGATGATTCTGATTCTAAGATGGAAGCAATTCTCAATGTTCTGGAAGTAAAATCCCTACAAGTAAAGAGAGTCCCAGCAGAAAAGTGGTATTGCCCTTAGAGAGTACAACAATACCTTGTGTGTGGGGAACCCCTCGGAGTTGAACACTGCTTGCACTGCTTAGAGTGACTTCTGCTCTGGAAATGAGAAAAAGCCCTTGAGAAGGTGCAGAGGTTTCTCACAAGCAACATAAATGGAAACACTGGTAGGCAAGCTAAAGTAATGACGCTTTCCATTCACCAACATTTATTGTGATCTGCTTACACATCAGGAAAAGTGCTCAGAGTGCTAAGGAAACACTAGTGAACCAGAGCCTGGAGTTCTTGCCCTTACTTAGCTTGTGAGCAGTGAATGAATAAAGAAAATAAAGGAATAAAGAAAAAAATTAATAAGTAATTGCAACTGTTGACAAGCATATGAGGGAAATAGCTTGCTATGTGGGGGAGATATTCTTGGTAGCCTCTACCACCTCCCTGGGACTCCTCTGACTGAGGCAGGATGGTGTGGGAGTCCCATGCCTGCTGATGCCTTCTCTCAGTGACCACCCCAGGAGCTAGCTCTGCTTGGAAGAGTAGAGGAATCATGCCCCAGAGGGGCTGATCTTAATCAAAGAGGGACCAAGCCTGTAGATTATTTTTTTTTGTATTACAGAAAAACATGAGGTATTTTATTACCATAACTATGAAACACATATAAGTGACTTTCAATGATTAGTTTTCAGGTTTTGAGATGTTAATATCTTAACAGTATGACAAAAAAAGTAAAACAGATAAAACCCTGGCTTCCCTGAAAGAAATGGGAGGGTGATACAGAATGGTATTGGCTGCAAATCTACCCTCTAGCTCTCCTTCTGTTTTCTTGAAGTTGTGATTGAAACCCTGACTCAGTTTCCCAAAACAATGTAACAATCACTGGTCAAAAGAAAAATAAATACATTGATTACCAAGAAACAATCCCTTTAGAATCATCACCTCACTTAATCTTAACAATGCCATTGAATACGCAGCATTGCTTCTATCTTGTACATGAAGATGTACAAGATAGAACTTTATGTACAAGATAGAACTTCCTCAAAGCCACACTTAATATGTGAAAATTCCATGTTTGGATTAAGGCCAATCTGGTGTTAAAATTCACGCTGTTGTCATTATAACACACTGCCTCCTGGATCTTACAGACATTAGTGAAAATAATCACAAAAACAAAAGTTGAAATGCAACTCTGATTGTTATTAACTAACAACATATAGTTTTTTAAGAGCCAACCGATGTGATGCTGCAATCTGTATACGGGGTAAAAATGGGAGTTCATAACCCACTTGAATCAAAGTGTGAAATATGATATGTCATATTTCACACTTTATTGTTGGTTGTTCAAAACTATGTAATGGTTTGAACAACCAACAATAAAAATTAAAGAAAAAAATAAAAGCTATCTTTAAAGGATACTGTCTATGACCTCCTTGAGTAGGTCAAGCCTGTAGATGAACACTCCAGCCTTCCTGGAGTTAGAAGGAGAACTATGGAATGAATTTTACACAACTCCTTTGAGAGCTCCCAGCATGAAGAAACCCATGAGAAGCAGCCATTATTAACTTCCCTTCCTTGTTCTCACTCCTTTCTCCCTTGTCACTGCTTCCTGGAGTCACCTCCTAAACCTCGCAAACCTAATGCCATCAAGTCATTGTTCCGGGCTCTGCTTTAAGGGGAATTTAAATCAACAACCAGTGAAAGAGGATAGAATGCTGGAGGAGAGCGGCGCAGACGCTGAGGATGAAGAGGCGCCTCACCGCAGGCAGAGGTCTGCTATCCAGACCAGGACTTCTGGAAGGCACTGGTGAGTGAGGAGTAGGAGGCAGCCCCAGGGGCTGGAGAGCAGTTTGGGAGGCCTCGAGTGACTGCTGGAAAGGCAAGCAGGAGGAAAATGCTATCCAGATACTTAGGACTTGGAAAGATGAGCATCGTGGAATTTTATGCCAACTAATTTCATGGTTTTTGTAACCCAGAGAGCTCGTCACTCGTACAGATGGGCGTTTGGATATATTCAGGATTTATCCTGTCTCTCCTTTCTCCCTTGCCAATAAACCTTTCATAATTTACCTAATGCTTTTGGCATTAATTCCTTTTCACTACATACATGGACATCTTATGCTTTTTTTCGGGGGAGGGAGGCAAGAATTGAACCCAGGGGTGCTTAGTCAAATCCCCAGCCTTTTTAATTTTTTATTTTGAGACAGAGTCTCACGAAGTTGATTAGGGCTTGCTAAATTGCTAAGGCTGGCTTTGAACTTGTGATCCTCCTGCCTCAGCCTCCCGAGCTGCTAGGATTACAGGTGGGCACCACTGCACCCAGTTTATACTTGGTTTTGAATCTCAGTTCTGCCAGTTACAGCTGCATGACCAGCTCTGAACAGGCTGCTTAAATTGTTTTTGCTCATCTTCATCTGATAAAATTAATAGTAACCAGTAAGTAGGGTTACTGTAGAGATTATATGAGTGAATATATGCAGTAAACATTTAACTTTTGATCTTAGTAATAGCTCAAAAAATAATAACTTTGAACAACAAAAGTAACAATGTATGTATCAGTACACCTTTAATTGGAAGAGAAAAATAAAGAACCTCAAAGATTTAACTAAGAAACTGCTTCACTATATTCCAGCAGAAAAGTCTAAGTGTCTTTTCAGGGTGGTAGGGTACTGAATGTGTGCCAAAGAAGCCTTGGAACTACCTAGATACTCTTAAGGAAAGAAGTTGTAAATCTCCGATGAAGAGTAAAATGTATTGATTTCTTTGACTTTGGCTCAAAAGCCTACCCTTGAGTGTAATGTCCTGCTTTCTGTTAGGTAACAACAGTAAAACAGTAAAGTTCTCATGCGTTGAATGCTCTCCCTATTTTCCTCTGATCAAAGCCAGATGCATTCTGCTGTTAAAAGTGTGATGGCTGTTTCATTCTACTATCCTTCCTATAATTACTGTGTGTATATATGTGAATGCATGACCAATGTGATTCTGCAACCTGTACACTCAGAAAAATGAGATATTTTATCCCATCTGATTCAAATGTATAATATGTCAAGGTCATTGTACTGTCATGTGTAACTAATTAAAACAAACAAACAAACAAAATTTGTGATTGCTTCTAGGCTGTACCTGTGCATTCTCAGAAGCACCTCCTAGAGAATGGGCTTCTCACTGGTGTTAAATAACCAACAAGGACTGCACCCTATGACATCTTTAGTAAAGCATCTTTAATTCTGATTTACTCACTTGCTAAAGCATTCTCCAGTTCAGACTGTTACATTCTGAATTAATTTGAATAACTGATCTTAAGTATTTGATTTTTTTAATGGCTATGATGCATACAGTAAAGCTAGCTCCTTGAAATAGAAATTACTCCAATGGAAAAGATCAGGTGAAACAAACAATTCGGCTCTCTTACAAATTCACGTGTCTTAAAAAGCCATTATTCTTTTGTCATGTAATTGAAGCATCCTGCAAGTAAGCACACAGGTGCTTGAGGAAGTTGCTGTTGGAAAGGTTCTGTTTTCCTGGTTCATATGTAAAGAAATCCTGCAACATTATTCTACTCCCCATATTCACCTATTGATACTCTTTCAAAGAAAAAGTATTCACAGCCTTTGTGTGTGAACTTTTAATAAAACAGCACATTAAAATGAGCATTCAAACTATTGGCATGTTAGTCCTAGGCTTTCATATAATGCTCACAGTTTGTCTCCATTGTGTATATTCAAAACTGTTTGATTTTAAAATTGTACAAGGGCTTTATAAACTCACCTTAAACCACTGGTTGCCTTAGCAATGGTTAGCTATCCTAACATAAAACTATGTGAGTGGAAGTGTGATATTAGTATGTGGTAAAGACTGAAGGATTTGATTCTGGTCTCAATATTTAGATTTTGGCATTAAGAGGAAGAATATAAACTCCAATACAGCAAGCAATTGCAGTCTAACAGCGGATTAAAGAAAGCATTATTTTCCTAAGCAATAGTCAGTTATTAAAACTATGTCATGGGTTGCTGGACCAAAACTCAATCAGGTTTTTGCATAAATTCTAGTTTTGCATTTCCTTTCATGTTTTCAGACCTAATAAATGTTAACTGTGGAGGCAGCAAATGACACATTGCTTCCCAAACATGGCTTTTGCACAAGGGTGTTAGAAGCCATAATAAGAGCTTATACTTACTGCATGCTTATTTTATTTCACTAAACAACTCTCAAATGAATAATAGTATTTAATTCTTACATATCAGAGAGGCAGTTACTTTTTTTTTTCTTTTTTAGCATCTCCATTAAAAATAAAAGAAAAACTGATGGGCAAGAAGGTTCAGGAGCATGATAAATATGTAGAGTCAATGAGTCCTAGGAGAGGGACTCAGAGCCATCTTACCTACTGTGCCGTCCTGTGTTTTGTCGACACAAAAATTGTCCTGACTTCTTTCACTGCCAATAAAGCCAATTCAATCAAGGAAAGAGTAGGCAGAACAGAACACTGTGTATAGTGCTTACATTATTCTCACATCATGCTCCTGGGCACTGACCTATATTTCATAAAATTTAATATATAATGATACTAGAGTTTTCTTTATCTTAACCAAAGGTTTTCATACAACCGTATCATTCTACCTCATAGCTTTAAGAAGCCATTGATTTTAAGGAATATCCTGACTTCATTGTGTTTAAGTCTAAATCTTTTTTAAAATATTTTAAAATCAGTTTACTACAATAAATATTGATTAGCATTGATAATCAAAATTTATTCAATGGTAGTCTTGGGCCTCTGAGCAATCTGATTTTGATTAGCTGTCAGTAACAGATTATCCAAGAAAATAATCATTTAATTCTAACACAGCCTAATCAGCTTTTTCAAAGGATATGTCATGTTCATCGATCTCAGTGTGATTTCCATTCAAGCAGTCACAATTAGAATCAGCCACATCCTTTCTCTTTCCAGAATTAAAAGAAAAATTATGATGTTTGTAGAACTTGGTAATTAATGTCAGGTTTCATACTGTTGGGGTTGGAAATATTTTGGATATTTCAGTACCCATTGAATTGAAAAATCTTGAGTCAGAAGAAATCTTTATATTCTAGCTGATCCATCTTTCACCCCAAGTAAGAATTCTCTGTGGTAGATCGTTAACTAACCTAAGATGCTGTGGCTGTGATATATGGTAGAGCAAATGAATTGTCTGCTGATTAAAGTAGGTAAAATGTTATGTTTTATCTTGCAAAATAAAAGATTCAAGATATTGGGTACAATGTTATGTTGCAAAATCTTTTCCAAATATCTTTATCACTTGCTACATGTCAAAACTGGGTAATGGGCCACGTGTGGGCCATGAGAAGAATTCACTGAGACAAAGAGAAGCAGTTAAGAAAGTTTATTGGTGGAAGATATGTCACAAGGGTGCAATGGGAACACAACAAATACGGAGGCTTGCAGTCTCAACAGGGATCTAGGTTAACAACATTCTGAGTTCTTTGTGGGCCTTTGGCGGGCTTTTTGCCAGGAGTGGTTTATGCTAAATAAAGGGTGATTGACAGATTTCTGTGCCTTGCCCATAATACCCATTGTGCATATGCCAAATGCTTCTTCCTAGGTTTTAAATCACATATGTGAGATGCAAGTAATATAGGTGAGAAGATTTTCCCTTCTTAGGTTACTTTAGGTCAAACTTGGGAGCTGCCGTGCATGCTCCTCCAAATGGTTGGGCAATCTTTTGAAAAACAGGATCTTGCTGTTTACACTTCCTGGAAGTTAGCCCCTCCAATAACAGCAAAAGGGCCTGATGAAAGGGAGGTCTTTAGGTTCCTAGAGCTCTACTAATAAAGGCTGGGTGGAGCTTGGAACAAGAGTTCCTAATCTATTCTGCCCTACCATAGGTTGTGGCAATATTACTGAGTGCCTTGGGTCTAGACTGCTCAGGTGGCCTCCAAATGACTCCAGATTGCAGCAAATCAAGCTGGTAGATAATCCTTGTCAGTATTTCCATTGCATCCTTCTTTGCTCCACATAGGTGCATCCCCCAACCCCAGGAGCAACCTCTTGATGCCCTCCAGATAGTGCTGACCCACTGAGGGGTCAGACTTCATATCCTTGCTGCAAGTTATTCTATTACCCAAGTCAATTTATTTCTGCAATAACAAAAAAATACCAAATAAAACCATCAAGAGTGGGGCTGTATCTGATAGGCTTTTCTGTTTCCCAGTGCAGAGTGACTCTCCTGGATGCGGTGCTCGCATTGCTTTCATTGCTTTTGCCTATTTCTGGCTTCTTGATGATACCTCTCTTCTCCCCCATCTTGAACCGCCATGAATCCCCTCATATTTAGATGCCTCAGTTTCTCTTTGAGCCAGTTTTTTTGAGCCTGTTTTGTTTGAGTTGTAGTGACTTCTTTAGTTGTCTAACACACAGCAATTCCCTGCCCCCACAATTACATTAACCATAAACCGCTTCTTGTGGCATGGATTTTCTCCTAATTTCTGCAGAGTGCCCATTGCATTTTGGATGTTAAGTCAATGTTCATTGAATCAAAGGGACAGTCATCTCTACCCAAGCCCCAAGGTAATTAGTCAATCAGTGATGAGGCTCCTTCTGCTCAGTAGCCCAGTGTGAAAGATGTTCCAGTTACAAATGAAATAGAAGAAAGTTAACTCCTGTTCTCTAGGGCAGCCTAATTGAGGTGGGATTTCACCTTATTAAACATTGCTGGTAACTCCTGCATGCTCTTCTTTACTTATGATAGGAGTGCTTTTTGTTGTTGTTGTTGTTGTGGTGGTGGTGGTGGTGGTACTGGAAATTGAAACCTAGGATCTCATGCATGCTAGGCAAGTGCTCTACCAATGAGCTACATCCCCAGCCCAATCTTTTTCTGAGCCTGCCTTCCGTTTTGCTATATCTGTCCCTTTCTCATCCTTTCATTGTCACCCACACTGGCCTATACTCATACCTTCATCACTTCATACCTGGACTACTGCAGTAGCCTCTTTGTGTCAGTCTAACCCATCTGAACATCAACACTCTCTGCTCACATCTGGGAGGAACACCAAGATGCATTCCAGTTTGATGCTCTCA